CGATCGCCGCCATTCAATAAATCCTTGTGATTATCCACGCCTGCAAGGTGCATGGGCAGGAGCGCCTGTGTGTCTGACCGCGTGTGTGTGTGTGTATGAGCCGGTGGATATTTGTCTCTGACTCTGTAATGGTTGCGGAGGATGAAATTTGAACATAAGGGCACGGTCTGTAACGCTCTACTGTAAACGTGATCAATCTGATCATGTAAACATGTCAGCCACGTGACTCAACTGAATGACAACAAAAACACAGGCTGTTCCATCCTGCTGTCCCCCTTCCTGTCTTTAGTTTATTTTATATTTCTTCCTATTTGGACCCACCTACGTAACCCCCCCCCCCCTCTCTTCCTCTCTGTCTCCTCCATAGGAGTGCAGTGAGGAGCGCTCTCGGAGGCTGATGGAGATTTGATTGTCGGTTATCCAAAGCCATTATTACTGCTCGCTTCTGCAGGATATGAAAATGATTTCCTAAGTGTAAAATCCATGTCATTACCTCGATGGCCTCACTGCTGTCACTGGGATGTAACACAAAGAGACAAACAAATGTGTCTGCGTCTTACAGCTCAAACAGAACAGAGGGTGAAAACATACAAACGGAGCCATAAGTGAACAGAGGGTGAAAACATACAAACGGAGCTATAAGTGTCAACAGTAGGTCTGACTGTGGAGAAAAAAAAAACCACTTTCATCCAAACAGGCCTCCAAACCAGATTGAATCTTTTCTGCTGTGGTGCTGATTCGTCACAGTCTTCCACAAAGCCCCAGGTGACCAACAACAAGGTTTCTCCTTCTCCTTCTCCTCTTCCTCAACCCAAACACATTAAACCTAATGAGATAGACGATGCGTTCAGGTACCACTTTGTCCTGCTTCGACGTCTCTTCCATCCCCCTGCCGCGGTTCTGGGAGCTGCGCAGGTACAGATGGAAGTCACAGCCACCGACCGTCTTTTCTGGTCTTAATCGCCGTGGATCTGATAACGAGGCCGGCGTTCTGAATGACTCGTAGGCTGTAGAGCTGGAGGGGAATCTGATAAGCAAATTGTTCTTTTGTACACATAGCCAGCGTGCTGCTGCGCGGGCACATCCACTTGGAACAAACTCACCGAGGCGGGCATGCCCACTTGTCTCTCAGTAAAGTGGCTTTGCTCTGGACATGCCCAATTTGTGCCCTCTGATCCAGGACTAATGTCTGCTTGTAGAGTGGTGGGGCCCCCCTGTCCCCCCCCCCCCCCCCCCCGGCACAGACATCTGCAACAAGCAGTTAGTTATTCCTTTGCTTGTTCTTTGTGTGCGCTGAGAATCATGTTAGCACTTCAGCTGTGATGGCGTGCATTACCAAGGAGCCATAAAATCTGCTTGTAATTTCTAAAAACATGATCTAAATGTCATGCTGTAATGGCAGGGAAAAAAAAACACACTAATGGTTTGGATGTAAATGTCAAATTCAAATTATCCAATTACATCCCCGCATGCAGGGCGGTGTTAATTTGTCCACCGCTTGGAATACCAATCTGGCTCTCACTGAGCGTGTTCTGTGTGTCCTGCCATAAGACAGACCTCAGTAATTCCCTGCTCCGAGGGGCGCTTTTCACAGGCATTACTATAAGTATTCCATAAAAGATATCTGCCATAGTGGAGAGATATTACAATCATATTTTCTCTACTTCCCCCCAATGCTGCCTCTGTGTCTGACTGTGTGTTTGGAGGGTGGTGGGGGTGGTGGTGG